AAGGAAGATATGTAGAAGAGGATAAAGGTCTAGCTGACTGCCTCAATTAATATTTTTGTTCTGTATTTACAGATGAAAATGAAGGAAAGGGACCTCAGTTAAGAAAAAGGATAAATGAGTCATTTATTACACATGAGTTTACAGAGGAAGAGGTTCTATTTCAACTGTCAAAAGTAAAGACAAATAAGTCAATGGGACCTGATGGAATACACCCAAAGCTGTTAAAAGAGCTTAGTGGTGTACTAGCAAAACCATTAACAGATTTATTTAACCAATCATTGTTAACAGGAGTAGTCCCAGAAGATTGGAAGTTAGCAAATGTTGTGCCCATTTACAAGAAAGGTAATAGGGAGGAGTCAGGCAACTATAGGCCAGTAAGCCTTACTTCAGTAGTGGAGAAAGTGATGGAAACCATGTTAAAGGATAGGATTGTTGAACATCTAAAAACACATGGATTTCAAGATCAGAGACAACATGGGTTTACTTCAGGGAGATCATGCCAAACTAATCTTATTGATTCTTTTGATTGGGTAACTAAAATTATAGATCAGGGTGGTGCAGTAGACATTGCTTACCTAGATTTCAGTAAGGCTTTGACACTGTTGCACATAGAAGGCTTATCAATAAACTGCAATCTTTAAGTTTGGATTCCAATATTGTTGAATGGGTAAGGCAGTGGCTGAGTGACAGGCAACAGAGGGTTGTAGTCAATGGAGTATATTCGAAGCGTGGGCTTGTCACCAGTGGGGTACCTCAGGGATCTATACTTGGACCTATTCTCTTTAATATTTTTATTAGTGATATTGCAGAAGGTCTTGATAGTAAGGTATGTATTTTTGCTGATGATACTAAGATATGTAACAGGGTTAAAGCTCCAGGAGGGATAAGCCAAATGGCAAATGATTTAGGTAAACTAGAAAAATGGTCAGAATTGTAGCAACTGACATTTAATGTGGATAAGTGCAAGATAATGCATCTTGGACGTAAAAACCCAAGGGCAGAGTACAGAATATTTGATAGAGTCCTAACCTCAACATCTGAGGAAAGGGATTTAGGGGTGATTATTTCTGATGACTTAAAGGTAGGCAGACAATGTAATAGAGCAGCAGGAAATGCTAGCAGAATGCTTGGTTGTATAGGGAGAGGTATTAGCAGTAGAAAGAAGGAAGTGCTCATGCCATTGTACAGAACACTGGTGAGACCTCACTTGGAGTATTGTACACAGTACTGGAGACCGTATCTTCAGAAGGATATTGATACCTTAGAGAGGGTTCAGAGAAGGGCTACTAAACTGGTTCATGGATTGCGGGATAAAACTTACCAGGAAAGGTTAAAGGATCTTAACATGTATAGCTTGGAGGAAAGACGAGACAGGGGGATATGATAGAAACATTTAAATACATAAAGGGAATCAACACAGTAAAGGAGGAGACTATATTTAAAAGAAGAAAAACTACCACAACGAGAGGACAGTCTTAAATTAGAGGGACAAAGGTTTAAAAATAATATCAGGAAGTATTACTTTACTGAGAAGGTAGTGGATGCATGGAAAGGCCTTCCAGTTGAAGTGGTAGAGGTTAACACAGTAAAGGGGTTTAAGTATGCGTGGGTTAGGCATAAGGCTATCCTAACTATAAGATAAGGCCAGGGACTAATGAAAGTATTTAGAAAATTGGGCAGACTAGATGGGCCAAATGGTTCTTATCTGCCGTCACATGTTTCTAATAAACATTTATCTTTTTCTAGTGTTAGTGGATAGTGTTGGTTCAAGTCCTGTGTGCTGGGTTATACAATATCATGGCAGTCATAATACAATCAGGCTGTGTCCCTCCAAAGATGGAGCTCTGGATCCACAGCTGGGTGAAGGAAGGGAAGAATATTGATCTTTATGTCTCTGTGCCGCCGTCAATTTTGAGTAACAGTTTTGCTTTGGATCCATATTTCTGAATTAGTGGCTGATAGCCTTTATCCAATATATTGTGATATTGGAGTTATCCCATAAACATGGCAGGTAGATTTCTATGACAGTGGCAGTATTTATATTGAACTCTCCTTGTTGTCTTTCTAATGCCTCTCTTTATAGCTGGATAACTATCACCACTAATTTTTAACCAACTTTGTTTCCCTTTATGAGTATTTTGATTTAACAGTAAAAATAGAAATTTAGGAACTTATTTAGCATTTCTGTAAGCAGTATAACTATATATATTCAGGAGGATACTAGATACTAGGATACTAGTACAGGCTGAGATGTGTCTTATTATATGAAACATTATTGACTAGTAGCATTGTTATAATTGAGCAACTCCACATATGGAATCTCCCCTATATTGGGGACTTCTCTACATCTTTTGTGCAGGAGCATGTTAGTCTGTATATTTTGATGTTTATGTTACAGTATTTAAGGTTTTTTTTCATGTTCAACACAATGCTGAGTAACAACACACCATGTAACTGTAGCTACGTATTGGCCTATTTGGCTGTTTCGTATTGTCATTTACCACACTAAGAAATGTATGAGTGGCAGTATTGTAAATCATTCTTCATGATAATGAGCTTGTACCATTCTTTTACATTTTGTTTCCCTAATGTACTGAAGAATGTAGGCAAATTGTTCTGCCTAAATTAGACATTATCTGCTCAATAAAAATATTGATGTACAAAAAAAATAGTAGGCTAATTATGCATTAGCCATAAAAATGGGAATTAATTTCATTTTGCGCACCTTGATAAAAGCATATTTGCCCAGTCAGTGGAGAGATACTGGTAGTTCTGCATAGGTAGTGTATCGAACTTTGGATTACATTTAATGTTACATTAGATTCAATAAATTTTCTACATCGATGCATCAGATAGATGGTATAGGTTTCAGCAATTCGGAATGCAACATATTTACGGATTCACCACAAGTAACTTTTTTCATGATTTTGTAATTCAATTTGTCTTATACTGATCAACAGTAGATTATATACTCAGTAATATCCTATAACTAAATATTTCTACATATCATCCGAGATAGGTGTCTTTATACAGTGCAGTTAGGGTCTTTCATTAATAGACTAGTATAAACTGTTCAAGAAGAGTAGCACTGGCTTTTTCTTCCATCTCATTTCAGTAGTGGTTACGTTATAGAGAGAGGAACTGAAATTCTGAAGTGGATTAACCACTGCAAGAGTGTAAGATTAAATTAACATGATTCTTATGTACAACTAAATTGAAAGACTGACAGATATCAGTCTGCGAGCCATTCAAAGTTCACTTTAAGCATAATAAAGGAGTTGTCGAAATATTATCATGCTTTTTGTAGTCATGATTATTTCATACAGGATGGTTTGATTCAATGCATTTGGCTTAGGATTTATATACTCAATGGTGCAGCCACCAGCCGCTGTAGCTACAAGCTTTTCATGAAGCAGTGCGTGCGCTCAGTACATAGAGCATCTGAAAAATTATCTCCTGCTAGACGTGTAACGCATACTTTTTGTTTTGTTGTCCCCCTCCCCTCCCCCCGTTATTTGTTTTGCCTGTATTTGAATTTTTTTTCCTTGTACATTATTTTGTTTACTACCTGGTTCATTTTTATTATCTTTTTTCAACACTAAATAAGAAACTTTTCATTACTCTGGAGATTCTTAAGAGTGCACGTGTATATTCCTTATTTTTCATTCAAGCAAAAAGATCTGACTGACCTTGACAAGGGTCAAATACTGATGACTAGAACACTGGAACAGAGCATTTCCAAAATGGCAAGACTTGTGGGGTGTTCTAGGTATGCAGTGGTTAGTATCGAACGAAGGTTGTGCAAGGGAGGACAATTAGTGAAGTGGTGTCAGGGTCATGCGTGCCTGGGCTCACCAATGCACCCGGAGAACAAAGGCTAGCCTATCTGATCAAACAGAAGAGCTACTGTAGCTCAAATTGCTGGCCATGATAGAAAGGTGTCAGAACACACAGTGTATCACAGTTTTCTATGTGCAGGTCTGTGTAGCCGCAAACAGTCAGAAAACCAATAATGATCCCTGTCCACCACCGAAAGCACCTTCAAAGGAGACATGAGTGTCCCGAACGCACCCTACTTCAACAGTGTGCATGACATAGTTGTGGTGGTGAAAGGGCTAAAGTTCACTATTTGTCTGCACTAGACCAGAAATAATGATAAAAACCCTCTTAAGTATAAAAATATAAATATTACCATTTTAACGCTGCCACCACCAAGACAATTTATAAATAGAGTACCTTGGTCCCCCCAGGAAACTTAATAATAAAAACCCACCAAATGTAACTTACTCAGCACAATATCTATGTAATTGCAAAATACTAATTAGTCTCTTCAGGTAATGTGATTCTTTACCAGACAAAGGCAGAACTTAATAAAGGAATATTTATTATGAGCAAAAAAAAAAATAGTCACAGTGCATACAAAAATATAGATGGCAATCAAATTATTTACACCAACAACAGATAAAAACAAAAGGGATAAGATAAAAGTCATAATTACTTACTCAGCTTTTCAAAGTAAAACTTCTGCCCCATGGGTAAGAAAGATGGTTACTCACTTAGAATTAGATTCTGGCCCCGCAAGCAAATACAATGCACACTTTAGTATCATTAGAGATATACCCTGTGCAGAGGTGGAGTTAAGGAGTATCTATAGAGACAATAAGTGACCACGTCCTTGTGTCCCAGACCCACATCAATCCAAATATTAACCTTCTGACCATACAATCAAATTAACCCCTTTAAACATTGACAATACCACGTCTACCAGGCAGGTCATCTATGCACAAATTACATTAAAGGACAATATTCCATAGTGCAATAATGAATTATGTACCTTTGCCGTGACAATGAGCGTCAGAACTGGACAATGGAGCAATGAAAGAAGGTTGCCTGGTTGGATGAATCATGTTTTCTTTTAGACCAGGTGAATGCATGTGTATTGTTTACTTGGGGAAGAGATTGCAGCAGGATGCACTACAGGAAGAAGGCAGGCAAGTGGAGGCAGTGTTATGCTCTGGGAAATGTTCTGCTGGTAAACTTTGGTACTGACATTCATATGGATTTTACGTTGACATTTACTAACTAGAGTTTGTTGCAGGCCTTGTACACCCCTTCATAGCAATCATATCCCCTGATCAGGGCTTCCATCAGAAATTGTGGTGCCCCTGACACAGATCAAGGTCTGGGCCCCTTGGGGCCTGCCCCCGAGTCCGCCCACATGACGGCCCCCGAGTCCGCGGATGTAGAATGTGTGTAGTGGACGCAGAGTGCATGTGTAAAGTGGATGTGTTGTGTGTGTAAAGGATGCAGATTGTACATTTGTGTAGTGTATGAGGTGTATATGAGATGCAGAGTGTGTGTTTGTGTAGTGGATGTAGTGTTAGTGTATATTAGGTGCAGTGTGTATAGTGCATGCAGAGTGTGTGTTTGTGCAGTGCATGTAGTTTGTGTGTATAGTGGATGTGGTGTGTGTATAATGAATGCAGAGTGTGTGTTTGTGTAGTGTGTGTATATTGAATGCAGTTTGTGTTTGTGTAAGTATGTAATGTGTGTAAAATGGGGAGGGGGTATTTTAATATTACATTTTTTACATTTTAGTTTAGTCCCTCCTCCCTGCTTCTAACCTGGCCAGGTAGGGGGGAGATCGCATTCCCTTGTGGTCCGGGGCATGGTGCTCAGAGCCAGCCACTGGACTCTGCAGAGGTGGTCCGCAGCACTCTCACTTCCCTTCCCAGCAGCTCCCCCATCTAACTCTCGTGGCCTGTGTGCCTCGCGGAGCATTGCATGGTAACCCGTGGCAGCGCTCTAGCAGCTGTGGGACTCGCGAGATTTAGAAAAACGAGCTGAAGGGAGCTGCTGGGAAGGGAAGTGAGAGTGTGCTGCGGCTCCCTAGAGTAAAATGATGGGGGGGGCTATTGTCCTCCCCCCCTGACCCCACCCCTGAGCGGTGGGTGGGGACCCTAAATTATAATAAGGGGGGGGATACCTAATGTTCTCTCCCCTGGCCCCCATCCCTGAGTGGTGGGTGGGGGCCCTAAATTATAATAAAGAGGGGGAACCTAATGTCCTCCCCCCCGGCCCCCACCTCTGAGCGGTGGGGGGGACCTAATGTCCTCCCCCCTGGCCCCCACCCCTGAGGATGACAAAAAAAAAACTGAGGTTATTATGGATTTTTTATTTGGAGCTGAAAAGAGAAGATTTTAGAAGAAAGAAAACATCAAATGGTGTTTTTTGTTGTTGTTTTTTTACAGGTACTTAGTTAATGGTCCCCCCCTCATTATTTTTAGGGTGAGGGTAGTAGGTAGGGGTTACTTTTTGGGGGGACGGGGGTGACTAGGGGTTTTGGAACCCCTAGTCACCTGGGGGAGGGAGAGTTAATTTTTTATTTAGGGCCCCCACCCGCTGCTCAGGGGTGGGGGCCAGGGGGAGGACATTAGGTGCCCCCCCATTCTAATTTAGGGCCCCCACCCACCGCTCAGGTCCCCCCCCCAATTGGTATTAGGGCCCCCACCCACCGCTGAGGGGCAGGGGCCAGGGGGGAGGACAATAGGTCCCCCCTCCCCATTATTTTACTTTAGGGCCCCGACCCGCCGCTCAGGTGTGGGGGCCGGGGGTGGCAATAGATCCCCCCTTTAGTTTAACCCATTAAGGACCAAACTTCTAGAATAAAAGGGAATCATGTCACACATGTCATGTGTCCTTAAGGGGTTAAAAGCCCCCACTTGCGCATCGTGGGTGGGGCTCGGGAGGGGGGACCTTTTTTTTTTTTTAACAGTGAGCAGCCACAGGGGGTGAGACATATGGGAGGGGGAGAGCAGGGCAATTTTCACACCAGGGCTCCATGGTTTCTAGTTACGCCTCTGTTCTCACAATAGGATCACTGACAAAATGCCTGCCAATCTCCTATCTCCTGAACAAAGTTGTTTCAAGTGCCTCTTGTAATACCTGCTACCTAGATATAGGAGAAAGCAAAACCTAGCTAAACAGTGGGATAAATGATTCAGGCTCTGTCTGCAAGTAGATGCTTATTACATCCTTTGCCAGTGTGCAGTGCATGCTGATGATGGACTTTTTTTTGCACAGAATTGACATTTGGCAGTTCCGGCTGCCAAAGTTACATGTGCTGGCGGTGTAACTAGCCCCCAGCACAAAAGTGAATATATCTCTGAATGTGCAGTGTTTAAAGCCTAAATGCTGCATATACATACTCCTACCACCATGACTATTTCTTTTTTTTTTTATAATTCTTTATTTATGCATTGACATACAATACAACTTGTAAACATATGATCATGTAATCGGCTTGTGCAAAAGCCGGACTTTTGTGGTACAAACAAACAATAAAAAAGAAAAACTATGCATGTACAGAAAGAAGACAATTCCTTGGTTAGCAGTACGTTTGTTCTTCGAGAAACCTGTTTTTTCAGTCGTCGGTTTGTCAACTGGTGTTTTGATCTGTCAGTGTTTTTTTATTTATTTTTTTGTTAATTGATTGTAACTCTTGTATCAGATTGTTTTTGTGTTCTTGGGGTTCAAGTTCAGGAGATACCGTTTTGGGTGTGTTCCTGAAATGGTAAGGGGGGGATTTTGGAATTTGTGTGTCCGTTTCGTATGGCTTTGTGTTATTGTCTGGCTTGTGTGCGTTTTATGGGGAGTAGAGGGGGGGGTGGGATGGGATGGCGCACCGTGTTGTGTATTAGGTGTGGGTTGTGGGCTCTGCGAGCCATGGGTCCCAGATTTTGTCGCAATGTATTGTGGTTTCGTGAATGAGAGCCGACATTCCGTCCATGAGCCTCGCCTCATTCATTTTGCGTTTGACATCTGTTATTGTTGGGATCGTAGTCGCCCCCCAGTGGGTGGCTATGGCTCTCCTTGTTGCTAGGGCTAGTTTGGCCAAAAGTTTGTTGTGTGCGCGGGGTGTGTCTGGCAGAGGTTTGGATAGGAGCCATAGCCAGGGGTCTGTAGGGATGGTATCATGTAGGACCCGTGATGCAAGTGTCGCTATGTCTCTCCAAATTGGTGTGATAAGGGGGCATTCCCACCAAAGGTGATAGTATGTCCCCTGTTGGCCGCAGCCTTTCCAGCATCTGTCTGAGGTGGATAGTCCCATCTGCTTGAGTTTTAGTGGTGTAATGTACCATCGCATGAGGGTTTTATAGGCCTGTTCCTTGTGTGTGACACATATTGTTATTTTTGATGTGGCCTCCCAGATGGTCGCCCAGTCTGAGGGGTCGGTGAGGGGGCCCAGGTCCCTTTCCCATGCCGTGACGTAGTTAAGCGGTTGTTTTTGTGTTGTTTTGAGTAGCCATGTATATGTAATGGAGATTTGGCTTTTCCGTATGGGAGTGTGAATACAGGCTTGTTCGAAGGGGGTGAGGGGGGTTTGTCCTGCCCGTTTGTAGGCGGTTGTCTCTAGGAAGTCTTTTATCTGAATGTATCGGAAGTAGTCGCGTGTGGTGAGTGGCACTGTTTGGGGCAGTTCTGTGAACGGAATCAGTCGTTGGTCTTTGTAGAACCGGTATACTCTGTGGAGGTTGTTATCCTCATAGCGAGCAAAGTCACGCGGGGTCATGCCCGGTAAAAATTGTTCATTTCTTAGTATCGGTGCCAGGGGTGATGGGTCCGATGTGAGCGCGTGTTGTAGAGAGAGTTTATTCCATATGGCTATGGAAGTGGTGAGTGCTGGTGTGGTCTGAGGGGCCTTTGGACGTGCGTGCCGTGGTAGCCATATGTATAGGGTGGGGAAGTCCCTGCCAAATAGGTCATGTTCTAAATCTACCCACCGTTTGAGTCCTATGGGGGCGTGTAGTGCCTGGACTTGGGCTAATTGGGCCGCATGAAAGTAGTGTAGAAAATGAGGTAGACCTAGTCCCCCGATCCTGGTCGGGAGATATAGGATGTCTCGCCTAATCCTGGCGCGTTTGTTTGCCCATATGAAGCGGTCGATCTGCGTTTGTAAGCCTTTGAAATCTTTGATCGATATCTGGACTGGTAGCGTTTGATTCAGGTACAAGAATCTTGGTAGAAGATTCATTTTGATGCAGGCTACTCTTCCCAGCCAGGAGATCGAGTATGTCTCCCATGTCTTGAGGTCTGCCATCGCTTTTTGTAGTAAGGGGGTATAGTTTAGGTGATACGTTTGAGTGACATCTGCTGGAAGATTGACGCCTAGGTAGTGTATGTGAGATGGGTTGAAATGGAAAGGATAGCTGGTCTGTAGGTGGGATAGCTCGTCAGCTGGGATTTGGACCGGTAGGGCCTCTGTCTTATCTAGGTTGAGGCGATAACCTGAGACTTTGGCATATTCGTCCAAGGCGTGAAGGAGTGGAGGTAGAGATTGTGTTGGGTCGGTGAGAGTTAGGAGGAGATCGTCTGCGTATCCTGCTACTTTGTATTCCTCCCCTCTTATACATATGCCCGATATTGTAGGGTCGAACCTGAGAGCTTGGAGGAGGGGTTCTAATGAGAGGGCGAATAATAGTGGGGAGAGGGGGCATCCCTGTCTGGTTCCATTGAAGATGCGGAAGGAGGGGGGTTGTGTGTTAGGGATGAGGAGGCTTGCTTCTGGGGAGGAGTACAAAGTTTGAAGTGCGTTGAGAATTGTGTGGGGTACTCGAAATTTGCGGAGGGTAGCGAACAGAAAAGGCCATAGGAGTCGGTCAAAAGCCTTCTCTGCGTCTAGTGAGAGAAAGAGGGCTGGGATGCGTCGGTGTGTTGCGGTCCAAAGGAGGTCGAAGGTCCGTCTTGTGTTGTCGTATGCTTGTCTGTGGGGTATGAAACCTACCTGATCGGGGTGGATAAGTTTATGTATGTATGGGTTTATTCTATTTGCGAGTAGTTTAGTGAGTAATTTGACGTCCACGTTCAGTAGAGAGATTGGTCTATAGTGGCTTGGGTCCAGGTGGGATTTGCCTGGTTTAGGGAGGAGGCACACGTTGGCTCGGAGCATGTCTGGTGGTAGCGGGTTTCCCTGTATCACAGAGTTGAAGAGTGAGCATAGGTGTGGGAGGAGTGTGGTTGGGAAGGTTTTATAGTAGAGACCCGAGAAACCATCGGGTCCGGGGCTTTTATTGGGTTTAGTGTTTTTAATTGCTGTGGCTACTTCTTCTATGGTGATAGGTTCGCTTAGTTTAGCTATTGCTTCTGGTTTCAGGGCTGGTAGTGGTATTTTTTGCAGATATGTGTTTATGGATTCTAACATTACCTCCGGGTGTTG